ACTGTGTAGGGACGACCAGCTGCTCTTCCCTGTTGTGCCCTGCTGACATCACGGCACTTCTATAGCAGTGGATCTGGCCCACAAAGCATAAACTCCTCAGGACGGGGACCTCTCTCCCGTTCTGCCTAGAATATGCCAGGAAATCTAAGAGGCTCTAGCAGTATAAATAAATTCTGGCCAAAACAAACGAATCGTAGAGAACAGTTATGACTACTACTGGATTACAGGTGATCTACCAAACCAGGGAGAGGAAACTCAAAGATCCAGTCTTGTTCCACCTGCCACTGACCCCAACCCTCCCCACAACTTCAATTACAAATTGTTCCAACTTTGAATACTGGAGAAAGCAGTGAGGCTGGACAGCAACACCCCAACCATGCTTGCCAACACAGACATCCTATCAGCTGGAGCTTCCTTCTAATCCTAGTCCCCAAGAGCTGACACAGCAGCACTCAAACCATTCTCTAAGGTTTCTTGGCAACACAAAAATCAAGAGACTGGGAAGTTGTAGGGGGACCTGGAACCTTTCCTGAAGCAATTAGCAAATTGAAAAAGCAAGGAAGATGCTCACTACATTCCTTGTTAGCACAAATCAGGTGAGCTTTGGTGCATCTCCCCAAAGTCATGAGATAATTTCCTGTCATTGAAGCCTTCAGATATTCACAGCATGACCAGCTGGTCCTCTCCTTGTCTACAGATTTTCTCCCCATCTCCTGTAGTCTCCCACCAGCTGTTTGAAAGCTGAACCTGGCCCTCTGCGCTACTGACATACTGCTCTGATCATCCTTAAATTGCAAATTCATGTCTACTAAATCCCTAGCGTGTCACTCATGAGACCTGCAATACATCATGAGCAAAGTCTGCTGAGCCAGCCCTCATCCTCCCTGTACCGAAAGAGCCATAAAGAAGGGAGAATTCAAGAGCCTGAAGAATCAAATTCTCACTCACAATCAAAGCTGCCCAGACTAGAATCAGAAGCCTCTGCACTAGCCATAAGGAAGAGAAAAACTTCTAGTTGTTTTGCCATCTGTCCTCTTAACAAGTACATCACCCAGGATCGACTGCTATACACTAGACTGATGGTTTGACAAGGCAACCAAATTAAAGGTCACAGGTTCTCTCTGCACTTATAAAGCCTTCATCACTGGGCACACCTGCACAAGATGCTTAATGTGCACTAGCCTAATAACACTGCGCAGTAGCACTCTGGGCAAAACCTGTGCTAATATACTACGGCACAGTAGTATTAGGTTACTGCATAGTAAGCGTCACTAAATAAATGTGCGCCAGCACTACTGCACAGTAACTGTAGTTACTGTGCATTTACTTAGTATTTCATTAAGTACCAAACTAAACGTGCAATAACTGCTGTGCATTAATGAACATGCAGACATGCCCACTGACCATCTTTTATGAGGGTCTTATGATACACCTGTAAGGCAGAGGAGCAGTAGCCCCATTTACAAATAAGTAACGGAAGCCTGGCTTAGATTACGTGACTTGCCTAGAGTCAGCCCCAAAGTCTAAAAAAGGAATTAAACCCTGACCTCTCCCAAATCCACATCCTAGCCATTTGATCAGTAGTTCTCAACCTTTTTAGACTCCAGGCACCCATCGTTAGACTTGAGGCACCCCTCAGGAACATGCCAGCTCTTATTTTTTGACTACAGAACAATAGTAGAACAATTCCTCAGTCGTAAAGAGCTCAGAAAGACCACACCGGGCCAAAATGTTTTTGACGTTGTAGATTCCTATTTGAAATCCATGAGTGCATCTTGTGAATCACATGTAGGTGTTTGGACAACAGTGTTAATACTGTACAGCACCTCACAGCACCCTTAAAAGGATCTCGTGGCACCCCAGGGTGCCGCAGCACCCTGCTTGAAAATCATTGCACTAGATCATCCCACAGTCATTCCACACAGAAGCACATCCAGAGTCTGAGCCTAATGGTGCTGGGGAAGGAGCCCCTACAAGCTGCCCTGTTGCGAATCATACAAAGCTCTAGATCCACAGCACCTTGAAAGGGCTTGTGACCGATAGCTGCCTCTTGACTCATTTAGTCTTGGAAATACTCATTCAGGTACATTAGCCACGCTCCTCTAAAAGATAACGCCAGGTGGCAGCAAACTCCATACAGTAATCCAAGATATCCTAATATAGAACAGTTATCTGTATGGATAAGGGGCTTTGGGTACGTGTAAAGGAAACTGTTTCTGGAACAAGATCTTGATGCCTAAGAAGCATGCAATGAGGAGCCCTCTTTCTGGATGCTGCCTCCCATACCTACTCCTGGCATTTGAAATAGGAGTCTAATACAGGTCACTCTGCACTGCCAAGACTGAGTTATATTCCACACTGGAACTTTAATACCCTTCATGTTTTATGGAGTCAAAGGCCAGAAAGGCTGGAGGGCAAGGTCCTTGCCCCCCCCTGACCTGGGAAAAATTCCCTTCTAACCCCCTTTGAGCACTGGTCCATTTGTGTCAGCTTGTATACTGGTGAACTGGTGTCGGCAGATCACTCCACAGTAATGCAACAAAAGGGTTATACTCTCACCCAGCATTGACAAGCAACTCAAATGAACCCTAAAATGCAAACTCACTTTAATGCTGGTCCATCGGACTGCTTAGAAACTCACTCAGCGCAAGCCCTTAGCGCACATGCTCCATCATGGCACCTCATGTTGTTGGCAGACTGTCTTGCATTATTGGAGAGGCATACAAAGCTTGCACTGGTATGAGACATATCCCTGCCATAAGACCCTGACCAGCCATCATCTGCATGTGTCCACTTGTCCTGGAGAGAACACTATAGGAGCTGAATCCCAATAAAGGCCTCAAATTTTAGTTTCACTTAGGCAGTGAAAGGCCTTCAGTGCCAGACCTTTATTCCACTCCAACAGCATCCAGCACAATCAGCTTCTGACCCATGACTGGAGCTGTTAAGTACCACTGCAATACATAAAAGGGAAGGAAAGCCAACTGGGGTACCAGGTAGGTGGACTACAGCATAGATTGGCTAGCACTGTTCTCAGAAGGGGTCCCTGTGCTGTTGGTCTGAAGCCTGCAATAGCACCCTGCTATAGATGCTTGTCCACAGTGTAGTTGGAGCTGACAAGACCTGAAAGTCAGCAGTTTGCTCAAGCTAGGGAGAGCTGCAAAGAAAAGCAAGACATCCCTCTGATGGCATTTGGAGCAGGCTCTGAGATGGACCTGTCCTGTTTCACAAGGAACTATGAATGCTTACAGTGGTTCACCTCTTTTTGACCTGGTCATTTCCTATTTCTCTCAGCTCTGGTGATGAAACCAAACAAGCTGTTTCCATTTGGCATTCTCAGGGCACTGCCAAATGCCGCAACATCTGAATTGCTAATGGTATAAGGGACGGGGTCTTCACAGCTCACAAGAACCCCCTCTTCATTGAAATATTTCCAGTAAAACGCTTAAGTGGTTAATTGTTTAGACAGCTGTGTCTCTGCCTGCTCCCCCACCAAAAGAGCTAAATCTAAGGCATATATTACCTGACTGTTTCCCTTTTAATGCAGTCAGTTCATATATATAAAAAAACAAAAAAAAAACAAAACTATATTTGGGGTTTTTTCCTGCTATAAAAACATAAGTAAGGGCTGTGGATGGAGAGAAGGGAAGACTGGAGCTCAAGGGCTTGCAAGCTTAAGTCTGCAATGCATCTGGAATTTGTGCAACAAGCAGCAACCCAAAGAGGGGAATCTGTGTTCTAGAAATGGGGGATTTATGAATCTAAAAGTAAAGAGACTGTATGGATATGCATCACCTTTACTTACCAGCTGCCATACTCCTTGCCATTGCTCCCAGACAAACCAAATCCCAGGACATCACTACAGCAAAGATGCGGTTTGCTAGTACTGGAACAAACCTTGGAATCCAAAAATTATGCTGGCAAACCCCAGCACTGAATTATAACTGGATGATCCAGCTTTCCCTTTCACCCTGGAAGGTCATGCCTCAAGACTAATATGCTGGCAGCAAGGACATAGTGATGTAGGCTTGGATGGTTCTTGTTGCCAGTGGAGCGGCAGCCTCCAGAGCATTGGAGGACATTGTTCGAGTCTGGGGGAGGAAGATGTGGGACTTTGCAAGTGAAAAGGCCAAACTTAGAACAACACCAAGAGCTCTTTTAGCTCTCATACAAAATGCCAGAGTGGAATCAAGGAATGCAATGCAATGCCCAGAGAATGGCTTAACTTTGCTACATGCCACCTCATGCACACAGTGCCAATATTGGAACATTCCCTGGACAACAAGAAGCAGAATGCTTCAGATCAAATTCAGCCCTGGCATAACTGGGTGAAGCCATATCAAAGCCATGGTGTTATACCAAAGCTCAATTTAGTCCACTGAGTTGACAAAACAAAAAACAGGGGCCATATGTTTAGCCAAAACATTAGTCAAATATTTCGCATGGAGTCATCCAAGCGTGTGGGAGTCTGCAACACTTCAATATGACTCCGAGCTTGGCTGCCTTGCAATCAAGCCCACACTTCCGTGCTTTCTACACTCCCTCCCACCCTTCCAGTACAGTGCATTCCAGTTCACAGAGTTTTCCCCTCGCAGCTGTGCCTTTCAACACAAGAACTGGGTCCAACACAGCACCTCCTTTCCACCATCTCACCCCTCCAGCCCTGCCAAGGAAATGGAGTTAAACGCCAGGCTGATCCATTGCACGTGGCCACAGGCTTGGCACTTTTTAAACTTTGAGGCAAAAGGAGATTTACAAAATTAAATAAATAAATAAATTAGCACAGAAAAATAAACAAACAAATAAAACAAATTAAAAACATTTCTGAATCTCTACAAAAACAAACAAACAAACAAACAAACAAACATGACAAAACAAGCTGAGGGCTCCCTGACCCCAGCCTTCACTCACATTCAGGCCCTCCCCTCCTGTTTTTGCACTGGCACCAGTCTCTTTGGGGTGTCATGGAAGTAGGAGAGGGAGCCCTGATCAACGCATGACCCCCATACAGATGCCATTCAGGTGCTGGCATCCCCTGAATGGTTTCAAACGCTCTGCAAGGCTCAGAAAACCAAAATACTTGGTAGGAATGGAGAGAGCGCAGACAGACAGACTACAAGAGTAAAGTCTGTTTCGTGGGGCTATCCAAGGATGATGTGTTGGCCAACAGGGATGAGAAGCAAGGGAGAATGGAGGATGGAAGTCACGCTGAAGGGCAGATAACAAAAGCCACAATGCGATGCTCGCACTTGGTGTTCCCCTTACAGAGGCAGGTCAGTGCTGTTATGCCGCGTTTTCCTTGAAGTCCCATCATCTCTGGGCAGCGCCCTCTGCAAGTTGGACATGGCTGCTGTCTTTTTAAGGTCAATGACCGCGTAGGAGTCCGTCCTCCGGGCTGGATGGGTGGTGGGAAGTGGGGCGCAGGGGACCTGGGGTTTCTGGCACCCCTTGTGGGGGTCAGCCTCCAGCTCCACCTGGATGTAATTGAGCTGCCTCTGCTGCTCCGGGCAGGGCCGGCGGAAGTCGAAGCTGAAGACGCTGGGCGTGCAGTTGCGGAGCTGCTGCGGGAAGTTGCCGCGGTGTAGGCTGCCATGCAGCACAGTGCTCTCCGAGTTCATGTAGTTCTGCAGGGGGTCATCTTCACTAGGCTCACGGTAGCCATTCGGGGAAGGGGTCAGCGCATCCCCAGAGTCCTCATCATCCTCGTCCTGCCGCAGGGGCTGGCACTCCCACACGGGAGGCAGTGATGGCAGGTTTTCATAGTGCAGCAGGGCCGTCCTGCGGTGAGAGCAGCTGTTCAAGCCCAGGTCTTCCCGGGTGAGTTTCAAGCGACCACCGCGCCGAAGCGAGGCACCCCCAGGGGGGAGCAGGCCATTGATGTTCTCGTACATGCACTTGGGCATGGGGTACTTGTCCTTACACTCGTTGTTGTTGTTGTTGGGAGCACAGATATGTCCCCTGCACTCCCGGTGGTGCCGGCAGAAGCTGTCACATTTCACCATGTGCCTGCAGCCAGGGGCAGGACCCAATACAAACTTCACCTCCCCTGGCTGCAGGAAGACTTGGGGGTTTCGGTCCTCTAGTGAGCAGCTGTGGTTCCTGTGAGGGAAAGAAGGATGGACCTCAGGCAGGGTGTGCATACAGTGCCGGCCTCTCATCTCCTCCTCACCATTGGTGGTGTTGACGTACGTGTGGGACTGCAAAGAGAGCAAGTGAGTTTTAGGAGCAGAAGGATGACCGCAGGAAAAGACAAAAATGCAGCTGGTGGATGAGTGCCTACAGGGAAAGGATAACAGGTTTGGAAGCTGATGAAGCAGAGGTAGAGGATGGAGCCTTGGTGGTTGAAGAGACCTTGGGCAATGGAAATCAGGTAATTCGCGGTCTGAGCAACAGAAGCTGGAACTTGACAGGGGCGCCTAGCTAAAGTAAAGTTACACTCACCACAACAACTCTTACGCACCAACTATTCTGCATGTGTGGAAAGAGGAAAGAACTTAATTTCCTGTCACAGATTTAACTTCAGTTTCAGGACTGGAACGAGCAAGATATGAGCTTCCAATCACCTTCCTACAACAGTGCCCTTCTAATACAATCAAAAAACCCCAGCAATAATTATAACGCTCCTGTAAGGCCTCCTCACTGCCCATTAGTCTGAGTGGATTCTGCTTATTGGTCCTGTAAGTCTCCATACCTTGGGGGCTGTTACATATTGGGACTGCGATACACATCTTTAAAAGAAAATCCTATTGGCATGACTGACTCGGGCACATGGGATGGTTTGAAACAAAATACCTAGACTTTATTTTTAATAAAGTTTGGTTAAACCTCTGACAAGGAGTACATGGCATTTCAAGCTGCACAGGCTTTTTCATGAGATGTCTTCTTGAGCTGCTTACATAAATGTCCTAGAACACCATACTGGAGGTGCCTAGGTTTGCCCAGTTCTGCAGGAAAAGGTACCAAGATGCTGCTGGAGACAAAATATAATGGACCGATTGACTACACTAAGTCCTAGGATCCTAAACAGAGAGCAGAGGGAGTGCAGTAGAAGCAGTTAGCCAAGCAGCGTAGTAGAAGCAGATGCCATGGGAGGGCCTGAGTTTGGGTATCCAGCCTTGAGCCCAGCTTGGACTTGCAGCTGCTGGGAAAGACATGAGAGCAGCTCACTCAGACTAAGAGGGGGAATTATCTGTTCCTGGGTGCAACCTAGCAATTTTCACTAAAACGACTAAAGAGGAGCAAGTTACAAGGTAAAATGGCCCCTGTGCTTCCTGGAGCTATGCAGAGGTATAGGTCTGGCATTCCAAGGCTCTACACAGAACTGATGTGCTACATAGTCCCCACAGCAACAGCTATCAGGGCTTACCTGCTCATCAGCCCCGATAAGGGCGTGCGTAGAGTCCTCCCCAACAGAGGAGTGCCTCAAGCTGCTCATGGAGGGGTGTCTGGCTGTGGAGTAGGATGGGGCTTCCCCAGGGAAGCTGTGAAATCCATTGGGGAACCCTGGAACAGTGTACCCCAGAGCTGAGGAGGAAAAGTAGAGACACATACATTAGAGGCAAAGCATTACCCAGCCCTTGCATACAAGCATAACTACATGGCACAATGTTGGGCTCAACAGGTATGTCAGAGAGCAGAACATGGTTGGCTGGGGTAGGTGCTACATCAATGCGTGGCCTAAACATGCACTAGGTCTCCTTGGATAAATTCAACAGCTTGCAAGTCCCTGCTATTCAAGTGGGAAACACTCAGGCAAACATGAATTCCTCTAGCTGGGGTTTTCTTCAGGAGCCCCCTCACCTCCTATTTCTTAGAAACAAGATATCACACGCAGCAAATGGCTGGGGCTTCAGGATGAACATACTGCATACGACAGGCGTGGTCTGAAGCATAGAGTCCAGAGGTTAGGCAGCTAATCCCAGCCACCAGGGTTGTGTCCTTGGCTAGAGGGCTACAGAGGCCAGGCTGGACCACCTTCCTATATCCATTTCCCCTCCACCCCAAGTATTCTAGAAGCCTTACTGCTGGGTGTCTGTGGGGTTCGGGACAGCTCATGCTCAGTAGGGTGACTGCTCCTAGTGATGATGACTGGCTCCTCCACCACGTTGATGCTGTTACACTGCATCAGGTCCTGCAGCAGGTTAAAGATCTCCTCTGCTCTGGAACACTTGAAGGCAAAGATCCCTGTGCAAACAGAAAGAGAGGAGTGGTAAAGGAGAGGGCAACCTCATTTAAGTAAGGAGGAAAGCTGGTCCTCTGAAGGCAAAAAGTTCAAGAACTGGTTGTAAAGAGGTTTTCTACTTAACACAATCAACCTAAGCTTGGTAGGTTTAGACAAAAAGAGATTGAACACTGAAGTCACAAAAATGTTCACCCTCCAGTGGGCAGGACAGATTTGTTGGCAATACAGCAGAATCCAGATTTTTCATATAGGGATGGACTGAAACCTGCTTAATGCAGGAAACTGCCGAATTGAGGGTAAGCCACAAAGCTGGTTCCTCCAGCTACGTGAAGAAATGGCATACTCCAAAATAAAAGCTACAACAAACAGCTGGAGCACCTCAGCAGCCCCACACAGCTATTTGCTGTAGCTGCATATACCCCTAATTCACAAACACACTCTTCCTCACAGGGGAGAGGTGGCAAGAAAATGACCCTTGCAAGGTACCTGAGTTTATTATATAAGCTCTCGTGCTTCAGGTTATAAGACACCACCACAAAAGAGGCTTTTCCAATAGGCAGCTTGTCAGGAAGTTTCTTGCGTCTTCCTCTGGAAGGTGAGCTACCAGCCAGTGCTCAAAACAAGGCACAGATGACCGATTTGACTTAGGTATTCCTATACTCCTCTACACATGAACACGTGATTTACAAAGCAATGTTCTGCACCATATTCTTGGTATTCAGATAAATAGTGCCATGACATTTCTATATAGCAAATCCTCTTCTTGTATCACTAAAAACCTAATGTTACGGTCACTATCTGATCAACTAGCACATCTATTACCAACCTTATAATTAGCCCCATTCAGAAATAAGGATATAGTTATCATACAAGAAAGATCCTGCATTGGCAGAGGCATGGACTGGAGAAACCAACAGCGCTTGCTCCACCCTTCACTTCCATTATTTCATTTCTCCTGAAGTCCAGGTCAATTCCTACTGTCTGTAGGCCTTGAAGAGTTAAATTGATATAGCCTCCTAAAGAAATGGTAAGTGAGACTGTTTGGGAGTGGGCTGCAGCTGGTACAGCAGGAGCAGCTGCTGGAACTAATGAGGGAGGCCAGGTAAGAATGAGGGCAAGTGAGAGCAGTGACTGGCTGTACCTGTCCAGCTGGCTCAGTACCAGACAAGATTACAGAAATGTGTGTATGATGAACCAGTCAGATCAGCAGTTTTCAACCTCATTAGACTCGAGGCACTACTTGGCAAATGTCAACACTTAGCCTTCACTCATTTTTTGACTACAGAAAAATAACAGAGCATTTCTTCTGTTGCAAAGAACTCTACAAGGTCAAAACAGATCAGCAGGTTTTAACTCTGTGGATTCCTATTTGAAACCTCTGGGTTTATCTTGTGAATTATCTTTGCACATCTACAAGTTCTAACATTGGTTGAGAACCTTGAGTTAAATGAATCATGTACTAAGAATTAGGCAGTAAAGACTACATAGGTCCCAGATGCTACCTAATTTCATGTTCAGCATTCTGACTGGTTAATAAACATATGATCAAGGAATGCATCGATACAATTCAGTGTGCGTTAGCTAGTGACATGGCATTTATAAGGTGGGTAGAAGATGGATTAATTTGAAAGAGACTCTGAATCCATGTACTCTTACATATATCCTCTCTGCTGGCCAGCTTGATCACCTTGCTGGCAGGGAATGAAGCTAATCTTGTTATACTCACTCTCTCTTGAAGCATGTTGCAGTCAGGGTTGACAGCCCCTTAGAAACAATAACTCTGTCAATGGAAGTCTTTCCACTGACTAATGGGAAGGAGGCCGGGGCTCTGGAATGCATGCGAGAAGGTGGGGGAACAGCAGTTCAGTTTGAAAATGCATCAAATTAAATGATAACTCCCTGGATAAACAGCCTGACCAACAGCTAACGTGTGCGAGCCAGCCAACCACAGGCCAGCACGCACATACACGCACAAAACCCATAGCAACAGGGACCGCATGGCAACAACAGCTGCTACTCTGAAGAAAAATGTGAAAAATATTCTTGCCAAAAATATACGTATCTGTCTTATTTAATGAGGATAGGAGGAGCAGCAGGGTGGAATCATGCAAACAAAATCAATTAAGCAAGAAAATTTCCTACAAGGGAGGAAAAGCAGCAGAGGGAGTGTTTTTGCCCTGTGTATACAATGGCGTTTCTCTGATTTATAAATGCACAGAGAGGATTGATGGCTTAGCCTGCGCTGGCTGAAAAAAAAATTCTTGTATATCAATGGCTCTGCTCTATCCCTGCGATCCAGATCTCTAAAGAAAACCAAAGCAAACAGAACCGTGTTCTAATGACAAAGCAGGCAAACACAATGACACAGTTCCCCCTGCTGACAACTGAGAAGCATGCGACTCAACTATAGGAGAGCCCCATTTATATAAATATTATAGAGTAGCATATGGCATTGCAAATTTACACAGCACTTTATAGGCAAACAGAGAGCCATGACGAGGCCTAGGGGACTCGTCAACACACTCCATACCAACTGAGGAACATAACTTTTTTTTAGCACTAAGCGCCAAGAATATGATCATCTCTTTACAAGAGAAACACTGACAGACTGGCTCAGGGACTAGTGAAAAGTGTGGGACAGTGGGAGTCAGGAAACCCGGGTTCTCTTTCCAGCTCTGCCACTAGTTCAGTACATGCCCCTAGGGAAGTTGCTGCACTTCTCCATGCCTCAGTTTCCCCAGGAGTCAAATGATGCAGATATGAAACTCCCACTCTCCCTACCTTGTAAAGTGCTGAGAGATCCCTGGATAGAAAGCATCACAAAGTAGTGACTATTACCCAAAGTGGAGGGAGACAACATAACCCATTAGGAAGGCTGGAGAAGGACAGGGTTATTTCTTAAATTACCGATATCACCTACTCCCTTTTTTTATTTTTTTCAACACAGAAGAGCCAACCCCAGAACTGCCTCTGCCACCTGGCTTCCCATTCAACTCAAACCTCGTCCCCAGTTTGTTTGACTTCTGATGGGATGCAAGTGTAACTTTAAAATTTCCAGCATTAACAGTAAACACTCACAGGTATTATAATGCCCCAGGAGTGCTACACTGCTGGCACTCGCAAAGATTTATTAGATACCAAAAGCAGCAAAGAAATCAGCACCCAAGGAAGCCGACAAGCAAGAGCTGTGCAGTTACTACCCTATCAAGCAGGGACCATCCGCTCACCCTGTCCAGTCTGGCAGCGGCGCCCACTCTCGAAGGAGAAGAGGTTGGAGTCATAGCCATAGCGGCGCAGGCAGAGGTAGGGCCACCTGACAGCATCACGCTTCCGAGTGTGCAAGATGAGCTCCGTCTGCGTCAGCTCCATGATCCCAGATCCCAGCTCGTTCCCCTCATCGTCCACATTCGTTACCTGCGGAGGCACCAAAGTTCACGTCAAGAAGCCCAGTGCACTGTAGCAAAGGACACCTTAGGGACTGTGGCTTCCTTGAAATGCCAAGGTGATTCGGAGACTGCAGCCTCCTCAGTCCAGGTAGCATACCTCAGGACAGGCATGACGAGCAGAGAGCTCACGCACGCTCCAACTTTCAGCCTCCCTGCTAACCAGCAGCAACCCTACTTTTACAATGCAGAGATCTGTCTATTAGACACCTGACCAAAATCTGCAGACTCCTTTTGCACAGGCCAACCAGCTAGAACACAGAGATAACTTGACACCCAACGTGAAAGGCTCCACAACATAAGCCACCCAATTTCCCCTCCATAGGGCACGTTTTCCCTCTAGCTCCAAGGAGGTAAACCTTAGCACAAGTGAAAGTTTCACTGCATGGAGAGGATACACCCTTCAAGGAGAATTCCCAGCTTAAAATCAACACCACATTTGCAAATCACTCCTTTCTCTGATGAAGAACTCCCAGAGATGAGCATAAGCTTCTCACTTCCTTAAATGCACAAATTTGCACTAGACTCAGTTGGCCTAAATTCATAGCAGCTGCTCACACTGCAGGCCTTTCCCTCCAGGAGGAAGGCAAGCTTACCTTAAACTTGGTGGGGTGGTTGTCCGGGATGCTGTCTCTGCACAAGCAGCTACAGCAGCTCCCCATGACGTCAGCATACCAGGTAAGCTCTGGGAGTAGGAAAAGACGACGACAAAGGCATAAATCCAGAGATTTCACATTTTCAAGCCATAAAGACCATCTCCTCCCAGTCACTGACCCACTAGATCCTTACCCAGTTGTGGCCATTAGGTGATATTTTTTTTTGTGGGGGAGGGGAGGAATTCCCACTTCAGTCCCACAGTCCTCTGCTAGGCGTCATGGTAACCAGGATGGCAAGAAGTCGCCTGAAGCGCCATGGAAATTGTCCCATTTTTCACCTGATAAAAACACAATTTAAAAGAACAGAAACTGAGAGCACAGAACACTTGCTATCAGGTAGAGGGCTAATTTCCCCCCAAAACTAACTTTCTAAAATATGACTCATAAGGAATACACAAACACAATCAGTGCTAAAAGTATTGCTCAAATTTACATTTATGTAACACTCAGCACAGGACAGCATTGCAAAACTCTGCACACCTGCTATGTGCTGGCAAGGATGCACGTCAGGTGTTAAAATCTTCGCAAACCTCCTGGGGAAAGAGATTAGACAGGGACAGTGAAATCCAATGGGGACCTTAACTGTGTGAATTACCCTCTGGGGGCGTAACAGAACATGGGTTTAAGAGAACCAATCCACCATACAGCAGGTGTTTGAACTGATGGGGATGTTAGTGGGAAAAGCAAAGGGCAAAGCCAACTGCTTCCAACTTCATCAAACAACCTGATGTTGGCTGCTTTTCCTGCTGCAGCCTTCTTGGTTTGTGAACAGCAACCCACTTGCACCGCTCCAGTTCAGTGCAGGTTACGTTGCCACACACACCTATATTCCGCCCTACAGACACATTCATGACTTTGGCAAAGATGCCCGTGGGAGCTGCACCCACTTACCCCTGAGTGAGCTAGACCCAAAGGCAATATATAGTTGACTGTTAAGGAATTAGCTCCACATTGCTCATAAAGAAAATGACGCTGGAAACACAGATGGAGAAATGAATCGGCACAAAGAAACACAAGCAATTTCTGCCTCACTGGGTAACTCCAGACAACTAGAGTCCTCAGCCAAGTCGGAGCCTTGCAAAGCCTTGCCGGCAGCTTCACGGTGTCCCAACTTCTGCGACTCCAGCAAGAGCAAAAGGCTGTAGCCCACTCTCCTATGGAGTCCAGGAAGTGCAATCACATTCCTCTCCCCACCCACCCCCAAATGGAAAGAATTACAGGCTCCCTGCTCACTTCAGGAGCCTTTCAACCCCAACTTGTTTGTTAAGCCCTCTCCATAGCCCTGTTCTAGTTAGCGTCACAGACTTTCACTGCAAACCTAGATCCAGACTCCTCTTCCATCTAATCTGGTCACTGGTGGCACAGCCTTCTCCTTCTGCCATCAGAACAATTTCTACTGCTCCCGGCCTCTTTACGTCTTCATCAAACTTCCAAGTTTTGTACAAACCACCTATTTTTCTCCCACCTTTTCCTTCTTCTGCTAGTTTTTTTCTGGATCTTGGCTCAAGCTCTGGGAACTGTTTGCAGTGGGGGGTTATAGTTTCCACTGGAAGATTGCGAGACTCCCTGCCTCGAAGATCCTTGAAAAGCCAAGTCAACCAGTCATTGCAGCCTCACTGCTGAATATTTTAGTAAATGTCTATTCCATGCAAATTCCTCGGTTAAAACTTTAGTCTCTGTACACACTTTTTATGACTCTGTTTCCATGTCCAGATGTGCCAACTACCCAGATCCCTCGGGATGCATACACTAGCAAACAAAACCCTGGCATCCTTAGACCACGCAAGTGCCTTTTGCATTTAGGCATCTACCAGACCGTTTCTTGCAATTTCCTCATGCTTAATTGGCTCTGCTTTCTAGAGAAAACAAACCAGCTGCATTCCTTAGTACTATGAATACCTGCAACTGTTCAGCTCAGCAAAGAAAATAGCATTCTCCTCAGAAGATGCAGGTTTCCACGCAACTGCCTGCCTCTCAAGGGCTATAGTGGAATATGCTGATCTTCCACCTTATAGATGGAGTCTGAAGTCACACCTGGCAAGTTTTCTTGTGACATCCATTTTCTACTTATGGGAGGGGAACAACAAGTTAAGTGTTGCAAAATAGGAAGTAGGCACCAAACCTGCATTGACAGTCCACAGAAGTTGTGTGCCTAACTTCTGGGAGTGCTTTTCAAAACCTCTTCCAAACCTTTTTAAGAAAACAGAAGGAAAAAAAATATCCGTATAGAATATTCCAGCTTTTCCATTTGCCTCTCCTGCTACCCAAATCTCAACTGCTTTTATTGGGAGCTTTTATTAGATATCTTATAAGCGTCTAACTCAACAACTCCCTTGGTCACCAACAAAACCTTGAGAAACATTAAACAGAGTCTACCCAATTGACATGCATGCAGACTAAGTGCATAATTCTCCTGCATAACAATACCAGTCTCAATATGTGGAAACTGTGTAAGCTGTCAGCAAACACTGGTTATCCATGTATCAGTTAAGGGCACAAACCTCTTAAGTGCAGAGCAAATTTCAACTCCACTGTCTACTTTGCATCTTAATGGCATTCTGGTAAACTTGCATACTAACTGCAACAGCACTTCATAACTACTACTAAGTTTAACTGTGCCAGAAACAGTTAATAAGCACCCGTCAAAGAGCTCTTGATTGGAAACCTTGAAAACTAGGGGAGTCCACCAGTTCTGGGAAGCCAAAGCACTACAGCGCAATGCTGTCCAGGTGACGGGAGCCCTGAAATGAGCCCTTCCCAAGGCTTCTAATAGCAAGCCTAACTAAAAGTGACTATTAAAAGCCTTGAATCTCACGGGAGCTGCCAATACACAGCACTGATAGAGCTGCCCATGTGAGGAGCGCCGTTGTACCAAGTACTGATGAGTGCACGCTCCAGCAACTCTTGTTTTCCAGCCCCAAGGCCACGCGCTCGAACAGAAAACACCACAACCCGCCGTCACAGCAACTCCACCTCCTCTCGCCTTGCCGGACCATCCTTTCCTGCACACCCTTTTTTTCCCCCTGCAAAGATCTTCACCCGATCAAACAACATGTTTTCCCTGGCGGAAACGCAAGTAGAGCAGGCTCCCTTTCACGCCTCTCGAGGTTGCAAAGGCGGCCGCCGGATTTGCCGAGTTAGACACCTTAGGCTCCCCATAAAAAGCAACTGAGATCTGAGTAGGGGACACGAACGGAAAAGCTAGCATTTTCCAATCATTCGCTCCTCCTGGAGGGGCAACCAGCAGATTTACCAGGGGATAAGCCTATCTTGAAATACAAAATGATGTTTCCTAAGTTTCACACATGCCTGATGACTCTCTTGGCAGAAGACGGCAATTTGTCTAGGGAGCCTCCCAAGGGGTTTTTCTAACTCGATCGAGCCCGTGTCCGCTGCCCCTTCGAGACCAGCCAAGAGCGCCGGGTCGCCCGGTGGGGCGACGGGAGGGGGCCGCCAGCCACAGGCGGGACGCCTATTTCCAGACGGCCCGTGGCCGACAGCTGAGTTGATGGGCTCCCACCCCGACCCCGAACCGTACGACCCGTGTCCCCCGCGCGCGTCAGGCAGGCCCGGGCGGCCAGGCAGCTGGTCCTGACCCTGCCTCTGCTGCCCCAGCCCCCGGGTCCTGCTTGGGGCAGAGCGTCGGGACCAAGAGCACGTGGCTCCCTCCCGCCGGGCCCGGGGGGTGCAGGCCCCGGCCCCCGAACTCCCCTGGCCCCCGGAAACCCCCACCCCGCCTGTCTTCCCGCCCGGC